ACGCTTTTATCACAATAATACTAGTATTTTTTGTTCATAATTATTTTAAAAATTATTTTTAACTTTTTAGTTCGATGTACTTTAAAAGCGTGTTTTTTTAGTTTTTTAAACTATATTTTTAAATACGGTTTGAAAACAGTATTTTTAAAAATAGCCAGTGTTGGGAAAGTTCCTTTTTAAATGGAACTCGTTCCGTTCCCCGTTCATTTTCTAAAATATGAACTCGTTCCAGATCATAGTTCTTTATATTAAGAAGGAACTTGCCAGATCCAGTTCCTCCAAAATAAGAACTCGTTCCACTCTTCGTTCCTTTTATGTAACCAAGTAATTTAAAAAATTGTGGCAATGAGATCATGATAACGGTCATCAATAATTTTCATCAGCAGTCGAATACAAAACAAATTTGTAGTATTCCTTATCTAAAAGTATTCGAAAATTATATTTATAAGCAGGTAGTAAATGCTTACGACTTGTGTCAACGTGACCAATGTCTATTGTCTATATATAAGTTAGAAATAATAAATCAGAAAACCCAAAACCTTTAACATATATTAGTTAACAAGAAACGACAATAATATTTGGTGCATTATTTACAAGGTGTTCAGTAAGTCAGGAAACGGTTGGGTTTGGTAACAATGAGTTAAAAATTGTTTGTAACAATGAGAACAATAGAAACCCGTTTCCTGACTTACTGAACATCCTGTATATTAAATATTTACTGTATACCTACATGTGATAATAACTCTATTTATAGTCAATTGATTCATTTAAACAGCCTACGATCTCGGCTGGGTATATAGGGGACTTCCATTGTCAAAAGTCAACTAAAAATACCTTAATATTTTAATGTTCAGATACGAAGAAAACTACACTAAAACATGTTTATAATAATTTTTAGGAACTGTAATTTCCGTTCACGTTCCTTAAAAAATGGAATTTGTTCATTTTCCTCGTTCCTTTATTTTAAAAGGAAGCAGTTCCTAGCATCGTTCCTTCAAAAAGAACTCGTTCCAGGAATCCGTTCCTTCTCAACACTGAAAATAGCTAATAATCAATGTAAGAACTTTATAAGTATTAACCCCTTGTTATCAAAAGTTAGTGTAGTATAATATTATATTTAAATATTTTTTTCTTTACCTCACTTTTATCCCAACTTCTTGGGGTCGACCATCTTTATCATAAACTTCCAATTGACACAATCTCCTACATCGTCTAGGCTATTATCAGCTGTTCTCATATCGCATTAAATAGCATCCTTCCATTTCTTTTTTGGTCTTCCTCTATCTCTTCTTCCTTCGACATTCAGTTCTATAACTGTTCTTACAGCTTCCAATTCTTCTCTCCTCATAACATGACCAAACCATCTAAGTCTATTTTCTCTCATCTTATCTACAATTGACGTTACACCTATACTCCCTCTTATATGTTCGTTCCTTATCTTATCTTCTATAGTCACTCCACTCATCCATCTAAGCATTCTACCTCTCAACACTATCAACCATACATCATAGCTGATCTCACTACAGTCTTATAAAACATACCTTTCAGCCTTACTGGAATTTTTTTTATAGCATAACACACCAGACGCTTTTTTCCACTCTACATCTTAATCCTGTGTCTAACATCCTCGTCAATACCACCGTTCTTTTGCACAACTGATCCTAAATACATAAAACTTTCCATCTTTCTTATCACGTTCTCGCTTTGTCACTGATTTCTTCGTTTCACCTACCTCGTGTTGTCCTTTTCGTTCAAGAGCTGATCTCCACATCTCTAACCTTTGATTCATTCCTTGCCTATTTTCTTCTATTAACACTACATCGTCAGCGAACAACACGCACCACGGTATCTTTCATTGTATTTCTCTAGTAATTTCATACATAGCTTTTTCTTCTTTTCCCTATACTTTTCCATTATTTGTCTCCCACCAAAATTATATTTAAAAATATTTTGATTAAATATTATTTAATTAAACATAATATTTTTATTTTATACCATAAAAATATTGAAGGGTACTCTTCTGATAATAGCAACCTGCGCTATTGCACGCGTCTATCATAATTCTATTATGATAGATATTATTAATATATATTGTCTTTACTAAATTTTTTATATTAAAAGAATTCTAGACCAAGAAATACTTTATTTCATTTTAGAGATCAACCGTCAGAAATGAATTATACTGATGAGTACAAGACACAAATCAATCTTATAAGCTTAAAATTTTGCTCTGTTATAACTTAATTTTGACGAGGTAAACTTAAATAGTTTTATATTTTTTAAATTCATTTATTGTTAAGCACATGTTTTATTTATCCTTGAGATTTATGCAACTGACGGTTAGTTGAAATTCTCACATTAACGATCACGTAATATATTCCCACGTGATGTATAAATCGTAAGAAAACGGACCTTCAAATAAAAATTAGTAAGAATAATTTAAATAATTTCTTTTGTTTCAAGAATTTTTCTTTGACAATTGAAGTTATAAACGTCCTCGGATTATTTACATAGAGTATGTGTTTAATAATTATTACCCACTTTTGAAAAAAATAAAAATTTATGGTAGTGTGTTACTTAACAAAAATTTAACACTCCTTGGGAGTTATTCGAGGTGGAAATCGTTAAAGCATAATACGATTATGTTTGGAGGGAAAATTGTTTAATGACTCTTAACTATCAACAATTTGTAATCATACTCCTACCATTCGAATATACACATGACCAAAGGGCGTGACCCAATAGTATCTTCAGACTCGATAAACACAACAAGGCTTGTCACATCAGACCTACTTTGTTTTTATTATCATTACTTGTTTTATAATTTCTGTTTTAAAAAATTTAACTTCTACCAAGAGGTCTTTTATTCCTGTTTTATTTTAGTTTTACTCCTGTTAACTCTAGTACAGAATATATAAAAAAATATTGGTATTATTAAAATAATATAATATCATAAAATTAGTTATAGCGGTATCTAGTGAAATTTTAAATTTTAACACATTCGTAAATACAAAAAGTATGTAATTTTGATTTTTTTATTATTTATTGTTTGCTTAAATCTAATACATTAAATTAAATTAATAGCTTGTTCGTTGTGTGATTTATTTTGTATTGTACTACAATCTACTAGATTATGTCAGGGTCTAACGATTCTATCAAAGACCTAAGGTAGGCATTTGGAATATTAATCATTTACCATTAGAAACCTAAATGACTCTAAATTATGTATTATTTTAATTACTATTAGTTTTATGTGTAATATGTTTTATGAATACTAATGCTTCTCCAGTAAAGATCATTAGATTGCATACATTACAAGTTTTCTATTTTAATCAGAGTTAGTAATCATTAATTATTAATTAAAATACAATGCCTTTTTTTCCACTTACAGCTTGAATATATGTTATATGATCTGAATACTTTCATTGTAATTTTAAAAAAATATTATACTTTTTGTTTTAGTATAAAAAATTCCTCAGTTTACAAATTTTTCAACTAACACTTGATTAATATTTAAATACTTTTAAAAGATTTGGTTCACAAAATTCAGTTGAACTACGTACTAGATTTGTCCTGAAAAAAAATTATCTATTTATTATTTAAAATAAAAATAATAAAAAAAGGAATCTGAACATATATTAGGATATCTCTTATTTTGGTCATTTTCAACAAATCTTGTTCGCAGCATTTTTTTTTTTTTTTTTTGGGTAAAACAAATTATTTCCAATATTTCATACAGATAACTCAATTTTAAACCATATCTGTAGGCACTTCAAATTTGCTATTTAAATAATAGAGATTTTTTTTTTTCAAAATTCTCCTGTAGGCTGAAAAAAAAACACAAAAATATAAAACCTATGAAACTTAAACTTTATGTAGCATTGATAACATTTGATGAATTTTAGCATCACACATGTTCAAATAATAGTTTGTATAATATTTTGAGTACTCTATATAAAGTTCATAGAACTCTGCCCCAATTTATACAAAATTCATATTTTTGTAGTTTTTATTCTGCTTTCATGATAATTTAGAAAAAATAGTTCAAAATCCCTGTTATTTAAATGGCACATTTCAAGTACCTACAAGTACGAGTTTAAATTGAGTTAGAGGCTGAAATTTTGGAAAGAATTTTTTTTACTTCAAAGAAAAATATAAATCCAGGGAACAAGATTTATTAAAAATGAAAAAATTAGAGGTATCCTAATATACATATTTCATAAAAATATACTGAAACCCAAAATCACAATGAATAACATGAAATAATATTTTTGTATGGCCTTTTTATGTTTTCTAAATAATTTTGCATGATAAGAATTTATCACTTTTGACTAATATAATTTTTTTCAATGACCTGTACTTTAAAAACTATAAAAAGTAGTATTGTATNTTTTTCAATGACCTGTACTTTAAAAACTTTAAAAAGTAGTATTGTATTTTTATTATTAAGAATTATTTTTTTAATTGCCTGTATTAAATAAATAATAACCTAGTGTGTAACATTTTTAATTGATGAACAATGCTTTAAAATACTCAAAAACTAATACATTGTACTTATGTAAGGTTTTGCTACTTTCTTCCTTCATAATAATTTAAGAAACATTACAAATAACAAAAAAATTAATAAAATAAAAAACATTACGATTCTAATTTTTTAAAATTCACAAATACTTTTATTATTTACATAATTTATATTTAACATCCTATCAAAACTTATGCTTGTTGTAAAGTGGATGGCAAATATAGCACAGCGAACAGAATTGAATTTAATATTATATTAAGAAGTTATAATCCTTTTTATATAAACTTGAGCTAAATAAATATCACTTTATAGTTTGCATTTTATGTGTTATAATAATTGTAATATATTTTATAAGGATTATATTTAAATTTATCTTTTTCTTCTTCTTCCTTGCCTTAATTATATTTAAATTTATATTTATTCAATTGAAAAAACTTTTTAATAAATAATAATTTAATTATAAATATAATAAATGTTTTGTAGAATGAAAAAACGTAGTTTGGCTGGTAATGTAGCCCTTGGATTGTATATTTTAGCTCTGGTATTTGTTTTTGTTGCGTTTTTTTCAACTAGTTGGCTTGTCAGTGATCCAAGAATTACAGGTAATTTTTAAAATTAATCAATAAATTCAAATACTTTGATTTATTAATAACTTGTCATAATTCTTTGGCATATGTCATTACATGTATTCGAAAAATATTAAAAAAAGTTTAAAATTAGATATTTCAAAATGTTTATATTGTTTAATTATTGAATATTTTACTACCACATATTAAATAGTAATATCATAGACTAATTTATTATTACCATTTAATGAACAAACATACATCCCTTATGCTGCAACAGCATGTATTTCAAAATTTGACAGAATAAGATTTTTATCTATAATAAAAAAAAAAATTTTTAAATATTTTTTTGTGATACTCATACTATTATTGATAGCTATTCAAATAAAATAACCATTTTTTGACTATCCTTTTAACCTAGAAAAACTAAAATATGTACTGTTGCAATATTAGCGACTTTATGCTCTGAAATTCTGAAATTGTAAAAAGTAGTGTTTTTAACCTTAATACCTTATTTAAAAAAAAAAAAAAAAAACTATTATTTCATAATTTATTAAATGAGTGTAATAACAAAATTCTAAAAAAATTTAAAAAAAGTTCATGAATTTCTGCACTAAGCTGACAATATATGAAATATGGTAGAATTTGATATAATGTATTTTATCTTCAAAAATGTTTCTGTAGAAATTAAAGAAGAAGTAATTTACCAGTATTTATTCATCTAAATCTAAAATATTTTAATATATTTTCTACAAATAAATTATTTTAGTATAATTTTAATGTATAAAATATGAAAAAAAAATTGTATAAAAATTAATCCATTTTTTAAAAAAAGAAATTGTTTAAACATTATGTCTTAATGTTGAGATATCAAATTTGTTATTTAAAACTGTTTTCTTTAAATAATATTTATTAAGCATATTGATTTAATTATATTATATGTTTTAAGAAAATATTTCATTGTAATTTATGTATCTATGTTAAATAATTGATTATTAAATTTTTTAATTTAGCTTTTATTCAAAATGTTTTTTTTTCTTTTTAGGGGCCAAATTGGATAGTTTTGGATTATGGACCCACTGTTTTCGTTCTCTTCCTGATCCCAATGATCCTGCTGAACGTCGGCATTTTGTTGGATGTCATTGGATATTCGATCCATTCACTAAAGGTTATGATGAAATAAAAGGATTTTTATTGCCATGTATGATATCAACTTTACATTGTTACTCTTATGTATAATAATATATATGATTACATTTATATTTACTTTTTTAAATAGTTAACATAATGGCAACTCAATTTTTCTACACAATTGCATTCTTGGGAACTTTGTTTTCTTCGGTTGGTTCTCTTATGTTTCTCTTATGTTGTACTCCTGAAGAAAAACGTTTTATAAAATTAACATTCATTTTAGGNTCCTGAAGAAAAACGTTTTATAAAATTAACATTCATTTTAGGAATAACACTAGTTGTATCAGGTAAATAAAATTAAAAATGGAGTTTACGAAACAATAATAAATTTAAAAATATATATTGATAACAAGATATCTTACTAAGATTTATAATAATTTATTTACAAATTAAAATTAAATTTTTTTTTAGGAATTTGTGCTGCACTTGCAGTTTTAATATTTGCTTTATTTGCAAATAGACCTGGATGGATGCCTGGTCATGACAACAATTTTTTCGGATGGGCTTTTGGAGTAGCAATTGCCAGTTTCTTTGCTTTACTTGCATCTGGAGCTTTTTACTTAGTTGAAACTAATATTCAAGTAAAGAAAAGAAAATATTTGAAGGAATCTCAAACTAAATTTGACATGGAAACAAAATCATAAAATTGAATTAATTTTATATATTTTTTTATTTTTAACTCTATTCTATTTGATAAAATATTAATTTTATTTGACGAATAAACTGATAAATATAATAAAAACATTCCAATTATTCTAACAATATTTTTATATTGCATATTTACAATAATTGTGATAGCTTGTGAATATATTATTATTTATGAAACTTACTCCGTCCATTAAAATGAGTACTGAGTTTTGTAATTACTAATTACTTATTTTAGACATACTTATTTCATAAAACTAAGTATTTGAATCAAATAGTACAAGATAAAATTTAAGTATACATATCTTTAAGATCTAAATTAATAAAGTATTTTTTTAGCTATTTAAATGTGTGTTCAAAAACAATTACTAAAAATGTAACATTAATACTGATTATACCTATTATATGTTTGTAAGAAAATCCTAAAATAACAGGATTCATCACTGTAAGGGATGAACACCACTCATTTTTTCTAATAATATTATTTATAGATCTGTTTTTTTTATTTTTTGTATTGAAATTAACTTCAATATATATTAACTTGTTTTTGTAATTATTAATTATTAATACTCTACTTGTATTAATTCTCAAGATGTATAACTATAATTAAAATTTGTATTGTTTTATTAATATTTTCTTAAATTTAGTAAAACTTAAAAAACTACATTATAAATTATTTGTTTTGTAGTCAAAATTAAATTAGGTGTTATCAATTAAGAATTTGCTTTATATAAATAATATTAAATTTAATTACCATTTTTATAATTATTTTGTAAATGATTAATTGTTCAATTATCTATAAACATGTCATTCTTTTTTTATGAAAAATTTATTGTTACTTCAAATTTACTATAATTTCTTATTAATCCTAAATTTTTTTTTCACCATTAATTTAGTTAATTATACTTTAAAATGTATCTCGTTTAAGATCTTTTTTTCTAGTTAAAATATTGTATTAATTAAAACTTATTAATTATTTTTATATATCTATCAATATTTTTATTTATATAGAATTATAATTTGCAATAATAATAACATTATTATTATTTATGTTTTTATTATTTAATATTTTAAGGAATAAATACTATATAGATTAGAAAAGCTACAAGGACACTTTTTACTTAAAGTTGCCTATAAAATAATTATGATGGGTTTATAACAGTGGCGCCGATCTTAATTTTCACTAAGGCAGCTGCTCTACTTTCAAATTGGGTTGGTTGTTGGTTCATGTTAGCCATGTAAATCAATCATTATTTAATGATAAAAATTAATTAAAAAAGTAAAAAATAAAACCTAACTAATTGGTTGATAAATATAAAATAATTCTGAAGACTTTGTAATACATTCAAGTAAAAAAAATTAAGTTACTAAAAAGTGATTACCCGAATAATAATTTTAATTCTACTGAAATTTTTATAAGGTTATTAAAAATGTACTAAGCAAATCATATGAATCCTACAGATCGTAACAGAATATAACTTTTATCAGTTGTTAATTGCTTAAAAATGCCTGATCATCCAAATTATTTAATACACTAATAAAAAAACGGTAGCACAGTGGGATTGCGGTACAGCATGGACTTAAGATAGTTGAGATAAGTATAGATTACATCAGGCAGTGATTTTAATTACTGTCATAAGAAACGCTTCGATTCAAATCTATAGACTGTTGACAAAAGCAAAATTAATTCATATTTCCCTAATTATATCCTAATTAGTAATTCTTAGATTTAAAAGTATAATTTATGAATAAATATTTATTATAGCAATTAAATATTGTAATTTTTAAGGAGTAATTATAAAAAAAACCCAGCACAGGGGGGTCGTGGCATAGTTAGATAAAGTATAATGATATATGACGTGATTAAAATCACTATCATAAAAAACTCTTCGATGCAAATCTTTAGATGGTGTTTAATTTTAAAAAATTGGTACCAAAAGCTACACGATCTGCTATTTCCTTATTTATATCCCAATTAAGATAAAGTATTTCGAATGAAACTTGGAGGTCAGACATCGTTGATTGTTGATATCAAAATTTTCGAATTTATTTATTAATAAATTAGTGGTGATAAAATGTTATTTATTTTAGTAGCAGTGACGGCGAGTGGGTGCGACTTTAAATATAATACCGCTAGTTATAGATATAAAAAATTGTCAAATTAAATATAATAAAATATAACACAATACACATATTATTATTTTAAAGGTCGTAGTAGAAAATAACAATAATAGCGATTATACTATTATAGCAACCCAAACCCAACCAATCGGAGAGAAATCGGAATTTTAACGGGCGAAAAACAGTAAAATTGTTCCAGAGGTTGCTTACGAGAGGGGCTTAGTAAAATAGGAAATAGAAGGAGAAAATAGGAAATAGAAGGAGATAGAGACGGGCGTATTAATGTATTAATTCTAAAAATAAATTACCAATATACTAATATTTTACCGGTGGACGACGGTCGTCCAAAACCCGTCCATAAGATTGCAGCTTAACAGTACTCGCACGCACACGATTGGGCGCCTTGTTTATAATATACGTTTCAAAATATTGTTCAGACGACGCTGTTAGTCGTCCAAACACTGATCGTTTGTGCGCACCTGCATATACCTTGGAAAACAACTTTAATATTCGCACACAACAAATGTATTATAATTATTTTAAAATTTGCATTTTTAATAAAAACGTAGAATTATGAATATATTATTAATTTTCTTCTTTTAATTAATTTTAGTAGGGGGTGCGATTGTTTTAAAGTAGAAGCAAAAAAACAGCAGTGATTGATATTTTTTTAAGAAATTATGAAACTGCTAATTTTTATAACTATTAGCTTCGATGCGTAACCAAAAGGCTATTGGTTATACTCTGTTATTATTAATTTTTTTGTGTGTCCGTGTACGCAATTACTCTACTCCTACTGGACAAATTTTGCTCAATTATTCGTCAAAAGATCACAAAACGTATTAATTCGAATGATACATGAATTAAAAAAAAATTTCAATTATATAAATGCTTTTCTAAATGTTAACATACGTTTTCTGAAAATATTATCATTAACCAAAGTACTGGGAAGGGATAAAATCATCATAACAAATGTGTTTATTTTCAATTTTGTAGTGTTTCAAAAAACTGGTCTTCTTTAAATCTACATTAAAGTGAAGTTAATATAATGTACTTTGAGATGATAAAATAAAAACTATCCGAAATTCGATTTCTAGAAGTTATAGACTATTCCAGAAAAATATTTAAACATGTGTAATAGTAATTGTACCAGCAAGACGAATATATTGTAATTGTTCAACGTTGTTAATGAATAATAATAGTCATTTTAATAGTTAATTTAATTAATTAATCTGACCTAGTAATTTGTGGCAGTTAACTATGTGGTCAGAGAAGTAGTAATATTGATATATAATATTAAACTAGCAGTCACTGCTATTAATCGTTTTGATTAGCAGCTATTTATTGTGATATTGGGAATAACAGTGCTGAAATCACCACTACTATTATTCCTTACCCCAACTAAAATAAAATTACTGCGCTCCTCGCTGTTCTACTGTGTACCACGTTTGCTGTTTTGTTGTCGATCATAATATTAAATGTATACCAATTTATACTAAGCTACTTCATTGATAAACTTTTTTAAACCTTGGCTGACACTGACTGCAAAAATAACAACAATTGTAAATTATTATCCTAATAAATAGTATCTAATATAATAGTTTTTTGGTCGGTTTATTTCGTTGTAAAATTTTTCTAATCAATAAATACAACTTTTTATTTGTCTTAGTATTTAATATACATGGGTGGATTTGATGAAGGGTTTTAATAAAACTTGTCTTATTTTTGGGATCCTCGGACGTCAATCGCAAAAAAAAATGAATTCAATATCTTTAAAGTTTTAATAGTTTATGTAGTTGATTAGTATTTATGTAGTTCACTAGTGCACACTTGTGTACTTGTCAAATACTTATCCAATATTTGATTTTAGGGTGGCTATCGGTAACACAATTTTTTCTTCCCCACTCACCTATATTTGTGCAGTACAGCGGTGGTTTATGTTGGCCTAATTAGTTAATTTAATTTAATAGATAAGTAAAACTATTTTATAGTATAATTGTAAATATAATTTAATAGTTAAGGTTGATTACATAATGTATTAATTATATAACTTATTAATTTATGAATATTAAATATAAAATAAATATTATTGGATAGTTTAATATTTTACTAAAATGTTTATAATTGTAAAATTCTGTTTCATTTTTGCAAGTAAAAAATTATATACGGTGCGTAGCTGAAACACTATTAGTTTTACTCTGTCGTATTTTTTTTCTTTAATTTTTAGGGAAACTAACCTCCTCAAATTTGCTTTAATTGCTATTGTTATTGGATACCGAAAACAAGATTAATACAATTTAGTACTGAAAAATATTTTATAGTAATAGCATTTTCTATTTTATAAAGTTATATTAGAACTATGTGTGTGAAAATAGTTTTATTTCAA